AATCACTTTTTTCTTTTCCATTAATAACGATTAACTATTTGGTTTGAAAATACACTATATATCTAAACATTTATAATAAATGAATAGCTTTTATTGTTCAATTCATAAACGAATAGAACTTAAAATCACTTTTTTCTTTTCCATTAATAACGATTAACTATTTGGTTTGAAAATACACTATATATCTAAACATTTATAATAAATGAATAGCTTTTATTGTTCAATTCATAAACGAATAGAACTTAACCATAGGCATATTAAAATCATTTGTTTAATAAACTATTCGTTTATACAGCTTAACCAATCACTTTTTTCTTTTCCATTAATAACGATTAACTATTTGGTTTGAAAATACACTATATATCTAAACATTTATAATAAATGAATAGCTTTTATTGTTCAATTCATAAACGAATAGAACTTAACCATAGGCATATTAAAATCATTTGTTTAATAAACTATTCGTTTATACAGCTTAACCCTTAAAATTTATTTTGCTGCTTGTAAATGTGGACAAATAGTTTTTTTTTTTTTGGATATTATATATCACTAGGTTGCATATTCATCACATATATATGATGTTTGGCTTCATTTCAAGACTACAATAATAAATATTTACCGAATATCTAACAAATATGGACCGAATAGTTGTCGAATATTCGATGCTATGCAAAATTGGTTCGAATACTGATTTCCTAATCGATTTGAATTTAGATACGGATTTGAATAGTCAAATACGAATACCAGGGTATTCGATTCGTTCGTTTCCACCCCATTTGCAGATGTGGCCATGTTGGTATGTTTCAGAATGTACTCATCCTTATACACAGTGCACCTGTTATTTCAGGAGCTTGAACTTATGATGACGACTTATTTACGAGAAAAGATTATTTAGTCAAAATATGAGAGAACAGAACAATGCCAAACAAATTACTTATTCGATATTGGTGAAGGTTTCTCGTGCCAAATTTTTTTTGTATTGATCAATCTTACATTTAATATATCACACGGTGCTAAATAGTACGAACATTTGACTGAAAATGCCACTGAACAAGGATATTACATTTAATTTGTCTACAAAAAAATTCTAATCTATACCAATTACAATAATACTTTTGAATAAACATAATACGAGGTGTTAGGAGCTGATTGCTCTTCTACATCCGAAGCCTTGCTCCCAAGGCAATGCTTTTTATAGCCGAGACTAATCATCAAATACCGTGCACGCATTGCCGTCATGTATCCGGATGCCCAGGGCCAATTTTGTTCAGGGGATATTGGGCCTCCACTATCGCATTATTTTCAGATGGGCCCATTTACTTTTGGTTACCTGCTTAGCAGGCTGCACCTACTCTACATGTTGGGTTGGGCTTCTGCAAGACATAGAAGTACGTTCGTGAATTTGAGCTTCTCGGCCTGGACTTACTGGGCCTCAATTTACCAGTGTTTTTTTGGCACCCCCTAAAAAATGTTCTTTTAATAAATAGAAGACCCCGAAAGCCTCGAACTGGTACTCTCGCCGCTCGCATCAACCTCGAGAATGGGAAAAAGAGCGAGCGGCCAACAAATCAAACATCGAAATCGAACCAAGAAGAGGAAGAAAACCAAGATCAACCCCGACAACGACGAGCTTCGACCAAACCCTAACCCTAGCCCTCCATCCTCCCTTCTCAGGACGCCCGGAGCTGCAATTGGGCCGCCTCCCGGGCATTACTCTCGATACTCGACCACGCTCTCCTCCTCCGCGGACTCTGCCTTTCGATCCTCCTGCCGCTCTTGGCGCATCCGCACCGCCGCCGCCGCCCCTCACCATCGCGGGCCCCCGCCTCCTCTGGGCCTCAAACCAGCTCCCGCGCTCCGTCGGTGGTCGGCCCCCCTCATGCGCCACCAACCATAACGCCTAGCAAGCGCTAGAACCTACAGCTCCCCTACTTCTCCTCCAGAACCGCTAGGTCTCATCGGATCCTCCAACGGCGCACCTCATCTTCGTTATGCCATAACCGTTTGCGGCCCCTCCCTCGGCTGATGCGTTCACCGGCCGTGAACTCCGATCGCCCAAATTCCCGTCTGGGGATTTCAACTTCCTGTTCGGCATCCTGACGGCGCCCATCTCTTCGGAATCTTGCTCTCTTCTTGTCGTAGCCCTCAACATCTCCTCCGACCTTTACTCGATCCTGTGCTGGTCACCAGGGAGCAAGAGATGGGTCGAGCTCAATCTCGTGGGTTCTCCTGAAGTTATGTCCTTGGTTGTCTTCAAAGGTCAAGTCTTTGGCATGGATTCCCTTTACAGGGTTTTGGTTATTGATCTCGCGCCTCGTATGAGTTGGAGGCTTCTTGACGCCAAGTTGTCAACTGGGACATTCCTCTATAACTACTACGGCAAGTTTGGGCAGAATTTGGTCGAATGCAACGGGGAGCTCTTTGTTGTTCTTTTGATTCCGACGGGGAAGTTTTCGTTACCTGGTTCGCCCAAGATTGAAGTTTACAGTCTGGACTTCTCGGAATCTGTGTGGGTGAAGAAGGAGAGTTTGGGCGATTGGTGTTTGTTTATGGATGCGGTTGGAAAATGCTCGTTTGCTTGCAGAGATCCGGGGAGGTGGGGAGGGAGAAAGAACTGTGTTTATGTTGCGGGACCTGGGTATGCTGGTTGGAGCGTGTTTCCTTTGGATGGAGAGGCGATCGATACGAGCGAAGAATCTCCTCTGAAATCATGGTATGTGACACTTCCTAGATGGCCTTCACCGGTTTGGGTTTACCCGAGTATGCTTCTTTAAATCTTTATCAATATAGTACCTTATAACGAAGAGAAGAAGAATAAGGTTTTTGTGTCAACGTCCATCTGCTTGTTTCTTTTTGAATGTAAATATGGATGTTTCTGTTTCTTGTTACTTTTGGTTACTTTGATATTATTACTTTCTGGTTGAGATATGACAATAATCTTTTTGGATCATAAACGAATCCCTATTAACATTATATACTCGTCCTACTCCATTTTCCCACTCTCAGTGGAAAGTTTGTTATGATATTGGGCATAATGGCGTGTGTTTGCTTTGAGTTTGTCTTTTATTTTTGTAATCCCAATATAGTTACATACCATGCCATGCTCATAATTCTTTGATATGTAATAAAACAGTCATCGAAGTGTTGTAGAAACGAACAAAAATCAATCAGCAACATAGCACCCTATTGCAACTAAATTGATTTTAGATCTTTTCCAGCACTCTTATGACCTATATGTGCAAGAAGAAGAAAAAAAGATATTGCAAAATTGAAAGTAACAAGAAGGTACTTTCTAGAGAATTTCACTCTTGTTACATCACTTTTTGAACATATCATGAAGTGTTATTGGTTTCTAGTTGTTCTGTAGAAACTTTTTTTTCCTATGATTTGTTGTGCATATCACGTGATTCTAGAACACTTGCCTTAATTTGATTTGATGAATTTCAAAGAAAAACCTTCCCCTAATACATCATCTTTCATCAATCCCACTATCTTTTTCTACTAGCGATTAACCCTCGCATGACACGGGGGAAAGAGCAAATTTAAATCTATATTTAGATAACAGGATAACATGTTTCTCTGAAACGATTTCATCTTAATAAAATAATAATAATAATAAAATGTTGAAAGGAATTTTCTTTGGTTTGGTGAGGGAACTTCCCCACTATCCTTTGGACCGTACGTATCAAACCCCTTGGCATGGCTAAGAGGCAACCATCAACACGCGACCTCGGTTATTTTAAGAAATTAAATTCTTGTGGGTGCTCTTTACGAGACTCAGACCTGAGACCTCGAAGTACTACTCATAGGTGGTTTACTAACTCGGCTAGACCTTTTTTGGTGTTGAATGGAAATTTAGCATGTGATACTGTTTTTATAGAAACTCAGCTAAGAAGATAGCTTTCCTCATAAGGTATCTATATGAATCATGCAAATGGATCGGTTTAGATTGGTGTACTAAGACAGTAAGACGTACATTCTAATAAAGTTTATATACACAGGTAGACTAACTTGCACTTGCAAAAGAGAGATGGTTTCTATCTGAATATTGTTCTTATCTAACAATTTAACACATTCACTGTTTGAGATATAAGATGGTGTTAACTACACAATATGGTTTCAATATACGACTGAAAAGCTCTTTTATATTTCCTATGAAAGAGTATCAAAATTGCTTGGACCAATAAATTCCAGTCAATTCACAAAATTATTTCATTAAAAATTTATTGGAGAGAGAGGTTATACCTAGAAATGAAACCAGTGGTAGAAAAGAACCACGAAGGATTCCGAGCAATTTTTGGATGAAAATATTCACGATTTTGTGAGCTATAATATACGATTTTTGTTATTTCGGTCAGTTGAAAATAATTTCCAAGGCCAAAATTCATGATTTGGTGAGCTGCCCACGATTTTTTGCTATTTTTAGTCGATTTGACCAATTGCAAATAATGTTGCGGAGTTTAAAATTCACGATTTCACGAGCAACTCACGATTTTTGGCCATTTTTATTTGTTTAGAGTAGGCACATAATTTTGCAGATGCCAATATCATGATTTTGTGGGTTATATAATCCAAGATTTTTGGCCATTTTATTCATTTTGACCTGTTGGCAAATAATTTTGTGGAGGCTAAAATTTATGATTTGGTGAGTTACAACCCACATAATTTGGCTATTTTTAGTCATTTCGACCTGTTGGTAAATAATTCCCGTAGATGCTAAAATTCGTGATTTCGTGAACTAATATATAGACATTTCTTGTTGACTAGTTGGCAAATAACTTTGTGGAGGCAAAAATTTCATATGTTATAACTCACGATTTTTAGTCATTTTTAGATATTTCGACCAGTTAGCATATAATTTCGTGTAGGTCAAAGTTCTCAATTTCATGAGCTGTAACCCATGATTTTTGGCAATTTCTAGTCATTTTGACTCCCTAGCAAATAACTCTGCGGAGGCCTAAATTCATAATTTCATGAGCTATAACTCGCATTTTTGGGGCAATTTAATCATTTCAACTGGTTGACAAATAATTTCGTGAAGATCAAAATTTATGAATTTGCAATTTATAATCCACAATTTATAGCCATTTTTAGTGGTTTCGACTCGTTAGCATAATTTTACGGTGGCCAAAATTTACGATTTTATAGACTATAACTCATGATTTTCTGCCACTTTTAGCCATTTTGACTCGGTGGAAAATTCAACGTAGGTCAAAATTCATGATTTCATGAGTTATAGCCCTAGATTTTTGAGCATTTTTAGTCATTTTGACCCGTTAGTAAATAATTTTGCGGAGGTCAAAATTCTCAACTTCCTTACTTGTAAACCACAATTTATGGCCTATTTTAGTCATTTTAACCCGTTGACAAATAACTTTGTGAAGATCAAAATTCGCAATTTCGTGAGCTACTCATGATTTTTAAAAAATTATAGTCATTTCAACCTGTTGACAAATAATATCATGGGGGTCCAAAATTCACGATTTTGCAAGCTATATCAACGATTTTTGGTCATTTTTGGTCATTTCAACCCATTAGCGAAAAAACTTTGCGGAGTCCAACATTCATGATTCATGACTTATACCCTCAATTATAGGGGTGTGCAACGGTTGGTTCGGTTCAGTTTTTACCAAAATTTGAACAACCGAACCGAACCGCCTATAATTCAAAGCAGAACCGAACTGTTGCAAGTCGGTTCGGTCCGGTTCAGTTCGGTTTGTTCGGTTCTAACTTCATCAAACTTCTTATCAAACAACAAACTGTGTTAAAGAAAACAAAAGATATTAACAAAGTAGGATATTATGAAGCATTAAACACTGATTTAATGATATTGTTTTCAACCCATAATGATTCAGAAAATGAGTTTAGAGTTTGAGTCTTTGACTCTTTGAGGACGGGTCTGGCAGGGTTTGAGATCAGAATGGATAGTATTGCACTATATACTATCGGTTCGGGTTGAAAAGTTTTCAAACCGACCCGAACCACCCTACTCATAAAACCGATTTTTCCGGGTCGGTTCGGGTTGGTTCGGTCGGTTTTTTCGGTTTGGACCGAACCATGCTCAGCCCTACTCGATTATGGCCATTTTTAGTCGTTACGACCAGTTGGCAAATAATTTAGTGGACGCCAAAATTCAAGATTTGTGAACTATATAACCCACAATTTTGGGTCATATTTAGTCATTTCGACCGTTCACAAGTAATTTTGTTGTGGTCAAAACTCACGATTTTCTTAGTCGTATAACCCACGATTTTTGGCTAATAATTTTATGGAGGTCAAGAGTCACGATTTCAATTTTTTGTCATTTTAGTCAATTTGGGAAATAATTTTGTAGGGCCCAAAATCACTATTACGTGAGATATAACCCTTAATTTTTGGTCATTTTTAATTGTTTCTACCTATTGACTAATAATTTTGTAAAGATTAAAATTCACAGTTTTTTTAGCTATAGCCGACATTTTTTGGCCATTTTTTATCGTTATGACCCATTGGCAAATAATTTTGCGGACTTCAAACTTTACAATTCCTTACATGATGTCCCACGGTTTTTTGGCCATGTTTAATCATGTTAAGCCATTAGCAAATAATTTTTACGGAGGCCAAAATTATATATTTCATGAGCTATAACCGAAGACTTTTGGCCATTATTAGTCGTTTCGATCTGTTGGCAAATAATTTTACAGAAATAAAAATTCACGATTTTATAAGCTTGTAACTCATGATCTTTGGCTATTTTTAGTCATTTTGATCTATTGGCAAATAATTTCTTAGAGGTTAAAAATTCACAATTTTATAAGCTATAACCCATGAATTTTAGCCATTTTTTGTTATTTCCGCGCGTTACAGAAGTAAAAAATCACGATTCCCTGAGCTAGAACAAATGATATTTTGCGATTTATAGTTGTTTTGACCCATGGGCAAATAGTTACGTGCAGGCCAAAATAAGAAAATACATGAGCTATGATCCATGGCTATTGTCCATTATTAGTCATTTCAACACGTTGATAAATAATTCCGCAGAAGCTAAGTTGACTATTTTATGAGCTATAACCAACGATTGTTTGTCATTTTAGTCATTCTGACCTATTGGCAAATAATTTTAGAGAGGCCAAAATTATATATATCATGAGCTATTATCCATGATTTTTATTCATTATTAGTCGTTTTGACTCGCAGTCAAATATTTTCACAATAGCCAAATTCAAGAATTCGTGAACCATAACTCATAATTTTTTGCTATTATTTAGTCATTTTGACCCCGTTATCAAAAAAAATCACGGAGGTCAAATTTCATACTTTTTTGCTTATAACTCACGTCTTTTTTACCATTTTTAGTCATTTGGACCCTTTGTCAAATACTTTCACGGTAGCCAAAATTTACAATGCTATTACCCATGGTTATTGGCCATTTTTGTTATTTCGACCTGGTGGAGAATAATTTCGTTGAGGTCAAAATTTATGATTTCGTAGGCTAGAACCCACGATTATTTGTCATTTTCAATACGCTTGACCCATTCTCAAATAACTTTGCAGAGCATAAAATTCATGATTTCTTGAGTCATAACCCACAAAAAAATTTTATTGCTATTTTTAGTCGTTTCAACCTGTTGTCAAATAGTTTCGTGGTGGCCGAAATTCAAGATTTTGTGAGCTATAACTCATGATTTTGTCAATTTTAAATCATTCGAACCGTTGGCAAATAATTTTCAAGAGGTCAAAATTCACAATTTCGTGAGCTATAACTCATGACTTTTTGTTATCTTTAGTTGCTTTGACCAACTGGCAAATAATTTCGGGGAGGCTAAGATTCACAATTTTGTAAGCTATAACCCACAATTTTTAGCCATTTTTAGTCATCTCGACCAGTGGCAAATAATTTCTTGGAGGTCAAAACTCATGATTTCCTTGAGCTGTAACCCACAATTTATGACCAAAATTTACGATTTCGTGAGCTATATATCCCATATTTTTTTGCCACTTTTAGTTGTTTTGACTTGTTAGCAAATAATTATGCGAAGGCTAAAATTTGCGAATTTATGGCATATTGCCATTATTTTTATCTATGTTCATTTATTTTTATCTGTAAGTCAATAATTTCGCAGATGCCAAAATTCACAATTTCGTAAGCTTTAACCAATGATTTTGTGCTATTTTTAGTCGTTTCGAACAATTGACAAATAATTTCACAGATGCCAAAATTAAGAATGCCATGAGCTATAGCCCATAAATTTTGTCACTATTTGTCGTTTTCACCCGTTAGCAAATAATTTTATGAAGGCTAAGATTCACAATTTCATGAGCTGCAAGACACGATTTTTAGCCATATAAGTCGTTTCGATCCATCGGCAAATTACTTTTTTGATGTCAAAATTCATGATTTCATGAGCTATAAATCATAACTTTTTAGCATTTTTAATGGTCTCAATCCGTTGCTAAAGTTCACGATTTCATGAGTTACTAAACCATAACTAGCCTGAGGATTCTTGTTTACTTGTCTTTCAATTCCGGCGGTTTTTATTTGGCACATCATGTTGATGCAACCCATCTGTCTTATGAATTTGGCAGAATAACATGCAAGGTAATCAGACATTTCCTGAGCAGTCAGCAAGGCTTTTGCTTGCTTTTCTTTTTTTCCCCCCTCCTCCTTCCATTGCCCCCATTAAGTGGTGGCAGAGGCTTGCCTTATTATATGGCAACGTCTAGGGCTGCTTGATAATAGGGAAGACAGTGGCGCATTCAGCAGTTCACCCTCTTCTATTAATTCTGGCAGCAGCTACTCCTCCCAGAATTTGTTCTATACATTCAAGTCTCATACGTTCTTGAAAACTGATTATATTTCTCGGAGATGTTACAGGGGGGAAAACATCACACTCGTCTATAAAACTCGATACTCAGAATGAATGATTGGATATACCCCGGCCCTACAGTCTCTAACGCTAAATTTAAAACACAAGAACCAGAAGATGGGGGGAAAGTGAAACAAAGGCTAACTGAAATCTTTGCGATAACAAACAAAAACTCGAAACCCCGTCATCCTATTAGTAAATCACTTTGCACCACCAAATCCATTCCCGAAAAAATTCAATACTTTGGCTACTGATCCTCGGACAGTTCCTTATGTCAAGCATCTTCAGATTATCCCATCTCATCTGCTCGAGACACTCGAGTCCTAAATCGCTTATACCTGCACAACCCGCCATCGATAACGACTGCAACCTATCTTTCCCTTTGAAAACCAAACACCAAAGACTAATATCAGTAATCTCACATCCATCCACCTTCAGTTCTTCCAGCACAACACAATGTGAAGCAATTGTCTTCATGATCTTGTCACTGACACCACTGCAGTTCTCTAGCTTCGCAGACTTGAGCCCTGATCCTAATCCCTTCACTATAACATTCAGAGCCTGATCACTTACCGTTCTACAACCACTCAGCTCTAAGCTTACGAGGTTATCGGCAGCGTTTTGAAACATCAAGAGGCGAAGCAGTCCTTGATCGGAGAAAGAGCTCATGCCTGTCAAGCTAATTTTCTTCGCTTGGTTGCAAGAGAGTGCCATCCAAGAGAGGAATTCATCGCCGATCCCATCGCAATCTCTCAGCTCAAGTGTGGATAAAAGAGGATAATTGTTGAGTAGAAGGAAATGTTCAGGTTTTGTAATTTCTTGGTTCTCGATGATCCTGCATTTATTTAAAGAGAGGATCTTTAGTGTGTCCCTCCAATTTCTGAGAGCTTGCAGTAGCCCTTTGGAACTGAATCCAATGTCTTCCTCTAATCTCAAGCACTTAACCAATTTGGCAGATTCTGATAGCTCTATTAGAACCTCATCTGTTAACGAGATGCATCTTCGTATGTCGATAGACTTCAATCCTGTAAATTTTGATCCTCTGAAGCTTTCTCCTGTTAAGCCGGCACAGAGTCTCAATTTGAGTGACTTGAGCTCCTCCATTGCTCCAATCAGAGAATAGCCCATCTCAGTAGGACCCTTGACCTTCTCCAAATGTAACACCTGAAGAGCTTTGCCTTGGTTTACGATCGTTTTTAATACCTCATCTCCAATCCGCATCATCGAAATCTTGAGCCTGAGCAATTGGGGCAAATTCGAAACGAGCGATATGATTCCTGAATCTTGAACACGAGGGCATTTCACCAGAGACAGAACTTTGAGCTTCAAACACTTTTTCCTGATAATCTCAAACGACTCGCCTCTGATGAGAGGACATGACTCAATACTCACAGCTGACAGCTCTGTGCAACTGCTTGCTATAGAACACAGGCCATTATCACTGATTAGAGGCAAGTTGATCAGATTCAGCCTCTCCAAATCCCTGCACCATTTTGCGATTGCTTGAAAACCCATGTCTCTGACCGAATCACAGTCCCAGAGACTTAAACACTTGAGTGATGGGCTAGCTTTCGCAATGGTTTCAAGGCCATCATCAGTGACTGAAAACGAACGAGGCAACCCCACGATACAGAGGAATGTGAGAGCTCGAGGAGGGTAGGCTCGAACTGCAAGAGCAGCGAGCCTAATGTTGTTGGCTTTCGCCCCCATTAGCCAACGAGAGAAAGGTTGAGGATGATGAGGAGGAGATTGCTCAGGCAATTCAACGCCTGAGACTCTCATGCTCGCCATTAGATGTAGCCATTTCTTTGAGACCGCGGCAGAGTTGCAGCGGTCTTGGGAGTTGACGAGGAAGCCGAAGATCTTTTGAACGCATTCATCTGGGAGACCGTCGATTAGATTTTGGCCCCCCGGGGAAGCGAGTTTGAGTTTCTTTTGAGCAATGGAGATGTCCATTAATTGCGTTCGGATAGTGAGAGGGGGAGAAGAGGTATGAGAGCAAAGTGTCTGAGGAGAAATTGTGCTCTTAAAAAGACAAAAAAAAAAGGGCAAGAGGCGGAGACCAAGTTCTCTTCACTGCTGACAGTAAGAGGATTAATTACCGTGAGTGCATCTGATGCGTGTATAAAGAAAGTCCACTAGAAAAGAGACTAAATGCAACCTCCATTGGCTCCCCTTCGTTTCCATTCCAAAACTGGGAGAGGGGCTTCCCTCTGGTTCCCTTGTATTCTCTGGCTCCGGGTTTGGAGAAATTAATCTGTGGCTTCTCGTTCAATGAACACGCGGGGTTTTTGAACCGTGGACTGTTGGGCTTGCGGTTATGGGCCCGGTAGCCTTTTAGAATGACCAAATGATAAGTTCAATGCATCCAAGCCCAGGATGAAGGTCCCTCTCCCCTGGCAGTCTTTTAGAAAGAAATTGTTTTCTTAGTACCAGTGGATGAACGTTCAAAGGAACTGGGCACCCACTTGTTCACAGAGAACAACTGTCATTGGCTTAATTTGTTTAGTGGGATGGTTAGTATTTGCCAATAATATTATCATCTAATTGACGCCGATTCGATTGTTCATGGATACTATTAGCTGCTACGTTCTTAGCTAGTGAAGTGAAGGGTTCCGATTTTGTTCATGGAAATCATATTCTCGAAAAGTTTTTCCTTGCTGGGATACAGTAGAGAGGACACCAGGGTGTCCTGGAGAGATTATGCGCATGGTCTGGGACTGAACGTCTTTTTGTTTGAGAATCTAGCCTGGTAGAAATCCCCTGGATTGTTCTGTTTAGCACTTGGACTCTCTGCTTCAGACCAAGTAATTTCTTAAGTTAGGTTGAGATGTCACGTGAGAGCCATGTTATGATAAATTATCTTTTACTTTCAATCATATCATATCATACTCCTTTTAAAAGTACGAGTTAGGGAAAATCTTTCCATGGTCAATATTATCCTTAATTTTTTTAAATATTATATTGTTATCCTAATCTATTCTAATTTTCTTATCTTCTTTGAATTTGTTGATGCTCGTAAACAAACAGTCGATGGGGGTTTCCCGCTGTCGGATGCAGCTTCGATCCTGGCGACGGTGGGGAAGAATGAGAGGATGAATATTAGGGCCGACTCCTCCTCCGACTTTATGCCCGATTCTGAGCACGCGGGGTGGACTGATAGCCTGCACATGCAAGAATCGCATGAATACGAGGCTAGTTTCCCCCGTGGTACCTCCGACGGTCAAGTCAGTTGATGAACTTGGGGAGAGTTTGTTGAGAGAGGCTAGTTTCCCCCGTGGTACCTCCGACGGTCAAGTCAGTTGATGAACTTGGGGAGAGTTTGTTGAGAGGCCCCTGGGCCATTGGTCAAGTCAGTTGATGAACTTGGGGAGAGTTTGTTGAGAGGCCCCTGGGCCATTGAGGTCCTTGCAGGGAGTTTTTCCTCTGGAAGTATTAAAATACACTGAGAAAAGATCCCGAAGGGGAGTAAAGCTAAGGTGCAAGAAGAAGCAGAGAGAGAGAGAGAGAGAGCCCCCTCGTCCTTACCTTCATTACCTCCTTTTATAGCCCCCTTGCCTCTGGGAGTTTAACCCTCGGCTTTTGTTGACTATGCACAGGAAGCGGTTTGAAAGGTGAATAGGCAGGCTGCTGAGTCATCTTTCTTCCTCCAGGTGTCGGAAGGCGGCTGGGAGGGAAGTCATTCAGTGCCATGGGAGAAAGGTCTTCTCAGTGCTCTGGGTTTGTCAGAATAGGCAGGGTGTAGGGTAGATCGGCTGCGTGGTCGTCCTTCTCTTTCTAGGTGGTGGCTGGGAATTGGAGGAGAAGTCATTCGTGCACAGAGAAGCATCATGGCAACTATCTGGGAAATTACTTGTAAGCCGAATAAGCGGCTGGTGCACGAGGGTTGTCAGAATGGAGATCTTGATGGGACTAATCAGTATTGTTGCGTCGATTGACGTCTTAAATGATCTTGGTCGGCTCTTATCCCTTTGGCCGAGGCGGGTTGATCTGTGAGACGTCATTATGAGTTGGCGACTCGGTAGTCGAGTCGTCTGCTCAAGGAGTTGTCTTAATTGCGAGGGGGCGACTGACCCCGTTCTTCGAGTCGGTCATGATGACCTGTCGATCGGAATAAGGCTTGTTTGCTCGTCTAGTCGAGGGACTTGGTTCTGACTGGGCTTCTGAGCCTCTAAGTTGACTCGGACAGTAGCTCGCTTGGGCTTATGCAGGTATTATTCTGATACTTCTATTTTGATGTGGTGACTGACCATAACAGAATTTATAATTAAATGATTTATCAAATCCATAATGAGACTTAACATGTTATTGGATAAAAGTGATATGTTCGATATAATTCAAATCCTTTACTTATTTTAATTTGTAGAGAAATCTAAAAAATATATGCTAGCCAGCACCTAAAAGTTTTTTGACCTTGTAAAAAATACCCTCAAGATAAAACTCTAAAAATTTATAAAACTCTAAAATTTTTACAAATCGTAAGATAAAACCCTCAAGATTGTAAAATTTATAAAAATCCTGATAATTTCCAACCTAATAGTACATTAGAAATATAGGAGTTATAAATATCCCCTGCATAATTTTTAATTTATAGAAAACACCTTTAAAGTTTTAAAAATTACAAATAAACACTCAAAATTCAAATTTTACAAAAACACTCTGGGAATTTCAAACTCATTAGTAAAATGAAAATATAGGAATTATAAATAGTCTATAAACAATTTATAATCTATAGAAAAGGCCTATAAGTTTAAAAAATTACAAAAAACCCCTAATATTCATAATTTACAAAAAAAATATCATGAGAATTTCTAACCTATAGACACTACAATGAATATACAAAATTACTAGCAGCCCCTAGAAAATAAAAAAATTACAAAAAAGTATCGTACTCCGTTTAAAAGTATAGATTTAGAAAAAAAAATCATGGTTAATATTACCCATAACTTTTTAAAAATAACATAACTAATTAAAAATCTATTAGATTTGAAATTTACAAAATTACGAGCAACCCCTAGAAAATAAAAAATTTATAAAAAGATATACAAAAAGATATCATACTCCCTTTAAAAGTATTAATTTAGGAAAAACTTTTTATGGTCAATATTACTCATAATTTTTTTAAAAAGAACATAACTAATTAAAAATCTATTAGATTTAAAAGTTACAAAAAAACAAACTTAAAGTTTAGTACATTGCAAATTACCCCTCCAAAGTTTGAAATTTTTCAATGATTTTTTATAGTTAAACTTAAAGTTTAGTACATTGCAAATTACCCCTCCAAAGTTTGAAATTTTTCAATGATTTTTTATAGTTCCTTGATTTTAATGTAATTTTTTATAGTACCCCTCCAAAGTTTGAAATTTTTCAATGATTTTTTATAGTTCCTTGATTTTAATGTAATTTTTTATAATTTTGTGTATTTGTTAATTATAGAAGTTTAGGGTGTTTGTTTTTACAATTTTCAAAACTTTTGAGGATATTTCTTTTGTAGTTTTCTAAATTTTCATTGTGTTTTACTGTAATGCATAGATACATTAATTAATGATGATATTGAAGAGTAAGTCATTCTTAAGATGTATTAGGCTATAGTTAAGTGTGCAGATCACTATTCCCAAGTAGTATAGTTTATGCATGCAAAAATTTTCAAACAATCTATATAGTGGTTAAAAGGTTTTTGACTTTAATGTACTATCTTTTATAAATTATATTTAATGTGAACACAATATATAATTTTAACTGTGTCATTATAATTTTAATATGTTTAATCGATTGACTATATAAATATGAGTAAAATCGAGTAAAATCACAACTAAAAGTTAATGTGAATATGAGTCAAACCACAACTAAAAGTTTAATGAACATATTGCAAGTAAATTCATATGCAAAATTCTTTTACGAATTGAATGATCACCCATCTTTTAAAGACTTCAAGATACTAATAAGTAAAGATATTGTACTAGATCAATGTGTTTATAACTCACAAATAGTAGATGACGTAACGACAGTCTGGGTTGAAAGAAACAATGATAATATTCCATTTGAAAGAGATATTATTGTGTTGATAATCAATCCCGCAAAAAAATTATTTTCTATTTTATTTTAATCTATTTTTATCAATTTAAATAACCATGATATTCGACCACGTGCATTGCACGTGCAATCTAACTAGTTAACTTAAAAAAGACTAAGCTACCCTCTAAGAAAAGTGGCTTCGTTCTCGTGTGAGGTCCATAGATTGTACGTGCTAATAAAGATTTTAGGTAGTATAAATGGTTACACATAGAAATTTTATTATTATTATAAATTTTATTATTATTATTATTTTATAGTGAACATTACCATATTTTAAAGGATGTTCTACAATTAAGTCATAGAAGCAAGAACTTGCTTAGGGTGTGTTGGTTAACTGGAACATTTTTTATAGAAATACAACAATTTATAGTATAGGACAATTTTCTAAAGTATGATATTTTAGTGATATAACTGAGTAATTTTTTTAATAGAATATTTTAGTAAGATAATTATTAGTATAATTAAGAATAATTTTTAATAATCAATAAGCATATAACTCGTTCGTTTTGATAGGCTAACGTACGAAATTCTTTTCGTACTAAAGATTTTACGGTCTTACGAGCTCGTGGGCTACCAACGTCGGCTCCAGCCCATTCAAAATTTGGGCACTAAGTCCAGTCCAGCTAAACTTGGCTCCTACCCCCATTTACATGGATCCGGTCCATCCAATCAAGCCACTACCGCGACTTTCTCCAAAAATATAACATCGAATCCCAGCCGCTGCTACATGGATAACCGAAACAACAGGAAAAAAAAACAAAAGAAGCCTTTTTGTTCTTCTTAAAAATTCTTTTCTTTTCTTTTTTTTTTACCCCTTCTATCAAGTAATTTTCTGGCCTTCGCCTCTATTTGTATAATTTCTTTTTTATGATCTGATTATATTTTTCAGCATCCGGAATCTGAGATTTTGTAAAATAATTTTAGGGATCAGGGATGGCGAGCGAACCGAAAGTGTATGCACTTGAAGAGGTCGCGAAGCACAACGTGAAAAAAGATTGTTGGCTCATCATGTTCGGAAAGGTCCTTCCTTTTTTCCCCCCTCCATTTTGTTTGACTTGTTAATAAATATATATTATGATTAGAATTATGTGATTTTGGTGATAATAAAAAAAGTTTTTTTTTCCATTAGTTGACTTTAATTTGGAGGATCACAATATTTAGCCATTGCCTTAATCGCGATCCAGTTTCCTATTTGTCACTCTTGTGTGCTTCTCATCATAGCTCTCAAAATGTATTAGCATTTGTATCTAATTTTTAATATAACCTTTTGTATCTGAATCAGAACCCCGACATATTTAATGTGTCAATAGGTGGTATCCGATAAATGGACCACATACTGCTCTCTCTCTATATATATATATATATTTAAATTTCTATTGCAATTTGTTAATGGCAATATCTCATTAAATTTTAATTTCATGTAACAAGATGGATTTTTTGTTAGTAGACTCAAAAGAGATGAATGGAGAATAAGTATTCATGTAGTCGCTCATAAATATTTGCAACAAAACCTTCAGCTGATATTAAATTACAAGAGACCTAGGAAAATATATCAGCAACAAACCTGATAATAGGCGAGATAAAAACCTTTTAAAAACCTGTTATAAGCACAACTCATATGAATAGGACAAAGTCCTTTTTTAAGATTTTCTAATTAAATTCTTACTGATTAAAGTTGGACTTGTTTCGCTCAAAAAACCGAGGAAAAAAAGGAAATTTTGAGGGGAAAAGGTAAATGGAGAATTTGTGGTAGTTAGAAGAAATCTAGTTTTCTATGTGGATCTCTTTGTGTTACTCTCGTGTAGTAAGTTTTGTAGAAATCATTTAAAAGCTTGGGACAAATGCACAAAAAAGGGCGTATTTTTGTACCTTTATGTTTCGTAAGCTTTTATCGCCAAAAAAGTAATATCTGCAATTTATTGTCTATGCATCATGTTGTCGCAAAATCAATGCTGAAATAACACAACACATGAATAATTTGGTCAAGATAGGGAAATATGGAAGATCATCCTAGTCCTTTTTTTATGTGCATTAAGTATGCAGATTGTAATAAGTAGTTGCACGGTCATTTGAACATTCACCGCATTGGTAAAACTAAGATATATGAGCTCAAGTGCAAACAATGCCTTTCATTTTTCAGCATATGCATCGATATTTTGAGAAACATGGTATCTTTTGTGCTTTTACAATTTACTAAAGGTAACCGTTTTCATGTAAATTGCATCCCTCAACTTCAGTCATTTGCACAATTGTCTGCCTCGCACAATTCTTTTACGTTTCTAACACCTTTATACGATTAGAAAACTGCTTATCGCAATTATCTGAGTCTCTTTCATCAGAAGATGGGTTCAGCTATGGAGTCCCAAGCCTTCAGAGAAATAATGAGGGACCTAATTGTCTGACATATTCCGGCTAAGTGGCTAAAATGATGCAGTTCATTAATCAAGAATTCAATCAGACATCATGACATATGTTAGCTTTATGGACTTGTAGGCTATACTGTCTACAGTTTTTGATAAATTTATTTATTTCTTTCCTTTTCACAGGGAATTATAAGAAATGTTCCCCAATAACAAAAATAAGTAATTACTTGAAATGGTGGATTGTGGGTGGATTGTGGCTGACCACTGTCCATTTTCCATGTGTTTTCAGTGGGGAAGAGGGCCCACGAGGGTAGGTGGAGGCTAACAAAATGTGTGCTAGATATGAATGAGGAGGAATTCAACTAGGTGTGAATGGTTACTAGTAAATGATCCTCGATCGTTTACTGTTCATTGGTTTAGTTGTTCATCTGAATACAATTCTACTTAAAATTAATGGTCTTATGGATAGCTTGATCACTTTTTTTATTTTTGCATCTCGTTGTGATATCATCTGGTTCATACTGACAAAGCATCAAGGAGATCGAGCAGCTAACATATTGATAAACCGATACTTGCAGGTGTATGATGTCACAGAATTTCTTGATGACCATCCTGGTGGAGATGATGTTGTGATATCATCGACCGGTAATATTAATATGTACATTTGCAATACGTTTTAAATTCAAAATAAACAGTAGATGCAGAAAATCTTTGTGGAACCATTATTTGATTTACTTCATGCAGGGAAAGACGCAACAAACGATTTTGAAGATGTGGGTCACAGCAAGACTGCTACAAACATGTTAGACAAGTACTATATCGGCGACATTGATCCTACGACTATGAAAACCCCAGCGTATGTTGCGCCAATTCCGAAGGCAACAACTACAGCTGATAACGGCCCAGGTTTTATCATCAGAATACTGCAGATGCTCGTGCCCGTTGTGATCCTGGGGTTGGCGTTTGCTGTCAGGAAATACACAAAACCTGAGTAGCTCGGATCCTCTACAATTTTGGAAGATAGCGTAGTTTTGGATGTCAGTAGTTGATTTCTTTTTAAAGGTTAAGTGTAGGTTTTTACTACTCCCCGAGCCAAAAAAACCTGTTGGTTTTTAGACGGATTCATTTGGTGATGCATTCATTTTGTTTTTTGATCTTATATTGCTGCGTATCAAATGCGTATGCACCTACATATCGGTAAAGGATGGGTGCCAATCCTGCAGATGAGATGTTTTTGAAGATTATTTCGACGTATTTTTCGCAAATCTGTGAAATTACTCCTGAAATAACTTAGGCGCAGTAGTGCATTTAAAAGCAACAAAAAAGAGCTGTTTGATCTTTATTGAACCACAATTTAATACAGATTGCCGTTTGACCAGGTTCGTGTACAAGTTATGTGAATTTGATGATACAAAGCATCTGAAAACATCATGCTACAAGCCTACAGCATCGGGCTAGCACTTCATTCGCAGCGAAAGAATAACCAACAATATTCTCCAGACTGCGCAATCACTCTTCAAGTTATAAGCCCTAACTCATATTCCCCCCATAAATTATAAAAAATCAAGAGAAGAATCTGATTACATTGGCCGGGCCTGTATTAACTCAAAAATAATTTAACCCAGCAGGATTACAAAACTTTTTTTTCCCCTCCGAACTGACTCCAAATTGGCAGTGATGTTGTTGCCCAACAGGAGAAGGGAGCGAAATGCCGAAATCTGGTTATAATAAATCTCAAAAGAAGAAAAATGATCAGAAGTGGAAACTCAAAGGCCACACTACTACTCGATTTTATCGTGTACTGTGGCAACCAGATCATGGGCATCATCGAGAAGCCTCCAAACATCTAGTTGCCCGGACAAGCTATTGCATTCTCTCATGATCTCATCCATGCTGCTGCTTCTCTCAATTAGCAACTTCCTCTTCTGCAGCACACAAGCAGCAATAGCATACAACAATAAATCGTCAGTAGGAGGAGCCTTTGCCCTGATCCTCCCCCATGCTGACTTCCTAATTCCTGCCCTGACCGCTGCTTGGTCTGCCCACATAACCTCCCAAAGGGACACTGTTTGCTCAAAGGTAAGCTCCCGTCGAAACAAAACTACCACCATTCTGTACACAAAAAAGCAGTCCTCAGCCTGAAGCTTCTCTAAGTGGCGATAGAGGTGCAAATCCTTGGTCTGTATAATCTTTGCGACAAGTTTCAACTGCCTACGAATGCCCACCTCATCAAGTCTAAAGTTGTGACGGGCTTTCTTCATGAAACCCACAAAGCACCAGAATGCATCATGGTCTTCCTCCATAACTGCAAGTATGGGAGAAAGGAGATCGCTCATTCCTTGACAGTAGCCAGTCTCGGGATCATAGATTGCATAGGCCTCAAGAACTGCAACCAGCCGGGCGGCATGATAGATCATGCACGGCTCCAGATGGTCAAAATCTTTGAGTCCAACTGATGCAGCAGATTGTAGAGCTTGTTCCTCTGAGACCAGGGCTTGTGATGGAGAGTATATAACCCACTCAGCATTGGCTCTTACAGCATCCAGTCGAATTATTCGCTGCCATGTTTCAAAGTCCTCAGTGGTTCGAATAGAAGGGTCTCTTTTATGTGAAGCACAGCTGTACTTGGACTCAGGGTCTAGAATCTGTTCGAGGATGCAGGATGCTGCTGTGCTTTCAGATTCTTCTTCGAACGAGGAATCAGAATCAGACGATTCTGTCTCCACCAAGGACACCTCGATGTTAGTGATACCACTCCTATCTTCTTCCTCTTCGTCCAGATTACATGATTTGGACTCCGGACTTGTATCGTATAGCGGTTGGTCAAAATGGTCACTCTCTCCTTCGGTGAGATTACGGACTTCTGTGCTAGAGGATTCAGGGATCTCATCAAGACAACAGCTGTCACCTTTACCGAACTCACACAGTTCTAACAAGTAAATGCCTCTGCGGTTGTGACTTAAAATTCGACGACAACGCCTCCTTAAAGCTTCATATTCTTTCCTGTATAGTATTAACACAGGCAACGGTTGATACTTGATGATCTCTATTATAGCCAAACTGGATAAACTAGCATATAAAGAATATTTAAACTAAAAACATCACTACTGAGAGTCACCAAAAGAGTCAAAACACGCTTTGCACTTTGATTTACACCCAGGTTCAGCCCATCCCTAGAAGGGGTCAAAGCAAACTCAGGTCCCTTTTCTAAATAAAAAATAAGAAAATTCCTCTCTTTTCATTATGCTCCCCCTCCCTCCCTCTTAGGCTTAGGTATATAACAGCTTTAATTATTCTTTCTTTCTTTCCTTTTTTTCTTTCTTTCTTTTTCTTTTTCAGCCTAGACCAGCAATTTCACTTTTGGGTCTGAGTTCAATCTTTGTCAAACCAATGGGATTCCGATCTTGGTCTAGGATCTGTAGCTAACTGATGGGTCAACATTAAGGCATGCATCAAATTGGATTTGGGTCTAATGCACCTACAAAACTTACTTGACACTTAATTACGCTATATCAAAAGACAATGTTGGACAGTAAGCATGTAAGTTTAGCTTGGAAAAAAGATAATTCTAGCATCTCCGAGAAATTAAAAAAAGAAAATACATATCGATTAAACAAGTTAGTGATGTACCTTTTCTGTACTTTGACGGTATTCCTTTCAGCTTCTGTACTGTTCAGATCATATCTGTAGAGAGATTGAGAAGACAATGTCAGAAACGCAGTTTCTTGTTAATAAATAATCCTAAACTGCTAGATCTTCTAAACTATATAATATGCAGCAAACTTCATACCTAAATGAAAGAAAAAAAATTAAGCCCATTAATATATGTAGTAAAATATCATGCAAAATAAAGGACTAGCAATAGACGTGCACATCAAGCCATGTTGCTGAGAAGATTTAAGCAAGGTATTGATTCAATCTTCAAAAGTTTTGCAATAGATACAGAAGCTAGAATAGCGTGTAGATGGTGCACAGGAAAAGGCAAAGTCAACCATCCAGGGGACACATGTCTAAACTGCAGCCACCGTCATGGCTTTGCTTGTCTGACTAATCCTATGTTGCATGGGTATGGATACGGGTGCCAGCATGGGTTCGGGACACGGCAAATTTGCAAAAGGTAGGGGAGGGGGACACGGCAATGTATGCACATATATTATATATTGAAATTAATATTTTACATGAGATCAATGTTTTTTATTCACATGTTATGAGAATTAAAATTCTTATGACATTTTTATGTTTATTTTATTATGTGGATTATAAATTGTAAAAACTCTCATCTTCTGAACCAGACAGTCAACAACCATCAAAAACATATTTTGAGAACCCAAGAAGTGGATGTGAAGGGTATGATTTACAGCCAGGAAATATTCGACAAGAGTTCTAAATTAAAACATGTAATGTTTAACTGAGTAGATGCCCAATAAATGTATGCATATATACAAGGAGTGTCCAAGGAGTTTGGGTACGGGCACAAATACGTGTCGGGTACAGGTATGGCTTCAAGATAGAAGTACTCCTGTAACATAGGCTTAATCTGAAAACAAGTATATCCCAAACTATGCTTAATCTGAAACAAGTATACCCAGAAAAAGCCCACCCCCATTATTGCAACAGCAAATCTGCCTGCTCATGAAGATCTAAAATCTAAAAGAGAAAATATTTTAATTGCAAAGGAGAAAGGGTTGCAGCGGTATACCCATATAAGTGAGATGATGTTTGCAGTTACTTCGAAACAATACCAGAAGCATAAAAAATGCTAGCATCTCATGCTAAATTATAAGCACGGATGAAAAGCATATGCCCCATAAACAACGAAACACAATGGATGTAACCCAAACCAGAAAGAGCATCCTTACATCGGACAAACAATATGTAACAGTCCATCTTTTCTTTGGGCAAGGGGAAAAAATCCAAATTTATGAGTTGCAGATCAGGACAAGGAAGTTGAATAGAATGAAGACCAATTAAAGGGAGCTCAATGGAATTTAACATATCCATCTTTCTCCATCCATCTATGACCCAGGAATTCCTTGAATGATCTAAAAGAAGAGACATATAACAAAATCTAAGGAAAAAGTTCAACATCTAAAGTTATTTGTTAACGAGCTTTAGTCAGCAACGGGGATAAATATCATTTAGTTATAAATTATGCATGCAGAAAAGTGTTTAGCATGCTTTTGAGTTTTGACTAATTCTATCTGTGCGTACATGAAACTAACTATTGGATCGTTCAAGCAGATCAGGCCAAAATAACATTATTCTGGTTCCAGACTATCTTTACGTCAAAATGAAATATGTTACGTCTGATTGAAGCAACCCGACAATTACGTCTGTGTTTGTGTCCATGTGTATGTAGTGTAACGAATGTGACAGTTCTGTACTCGCAGCGTGCATATTGCGCCAATATGAAAAATATGATGGTCTCCAATGAACATTTTTTATTATTTCTTTAACTATTAATTCCATTATGGCAATGTCCATAATTCTAATTTTTCTCGAACTGTTTCCAATTTTTTGTGCTAGTTTATTTTTAGACTTTAGCAATGTTAATGTCTCGACTCTCGAGCAAAAGTTACGCAGAGCAAACGAAAAGCTCACAACTTTACAGAATTTATAGTCTCCAGGCATCATTTTAGCAACTTAAAGTTCACCGACTTCGTTCCGTTAGTGAAGAAATTTTAACAAATATAACGTTGACTAGAACAACACTATTTAATATAACTCATTTTCCCCAGTACTTCCTCCCAATTGTATGTTATACATAAACAACTTAACAGAAGAGTGGATATATGCAAAATTGAAGCATGGCAAATCATATCTAAATCTCAAATAGAATAACCATTCTAGCCAAAGCGCTCACTAAATTTCAACTAAATGAACTAGTAAAATATTTCATAAGAAACTTTCAACTAAATGAACTAGCAAAATATTCATAAGATATAGAAACTTAAGGTAGTAGGAAAAGGTAGAAGGCCTTACACTCCAAGGAGAAAAGGCCAGACCTCGGCTCTGATGCTTGGATCAATCCCCTAAACCACAAATGCAACAATCACTAACAAAACAAAACCATTGCTCTAACAATGACATCCAAATATAAACAAAATTGGGCAATTAATTAAAAACCCAACAGAAATCATCGATAATTCCAAAATCCCCCCCAAAAAAAATAATAATAATAACAAAGATCGGAGGTACTGTTTCTTACTCCACTTCTAGCTTTCTTCAGAAGCTTCACTCCGCCATCACGAAGCTTTCCTTCAGCTGAGAACAGGCTCTCCCATCTCCTAGAGGAGAGAGCGTTTCTTCGTTTTCGAGCCGTCCAAGGTGAGCTAATACTGCGTCTGACCAAAATTACTCGAGATCAGGGATCATACAAGCATCTTTTTTTTTATTAAAAGACTCATCTTTACACAAAATTACAACAACAAATCACTGCGAATCAATCCAAGATCGGATTTTGAAGTAAGAGCTGAATCAGGGGAGATCTGAAATGGGGATCGGGATCGGAATCGAGGGAGGGGGACTCACCGATGGGGGAGAGGAAAGGAGGCAACAATGAGGAGCGATCTCAAATGTATCCACGATGATAACGGCGAAGAGGAGACGGGGGTGGCATCAGCATCAACATCAACATCAACAAAGGGAGATGACGAAGGGGAACGGGAGGAACAAGAAGTGTTTGATCTCCTCAAAGCTTTCATCTAATACCAACTCTTTTCTTCTTCTTCTTCTTCTTCTTCTTCTTCCTCAATTTTTTTTTAAAGAAAAAGAGGTTCAATCAGAATTAGGGCTTTTTTTTCTTTTTTTTACCTATAAGATGAAGAGATGACGAAGGTGGCGGCCAGAGCGAGGCCAGCCATCGCCGTCAAGCCCACAGCAACTCCCACATTCAATCCTCCTCCGCCTCCTCGTTCCGCCCACCCCCAAACTAACATCGAACTCGATCTCAACCTCAATCTCTCTCTCTCCCCCTCGATGATCTCTGATGATGAGCTCTGTTTCTTCTTCGTTTGTCTGTTACTGAAAAAAGAGGAAATGGAATGGAATCGAGTTTCAGCGTGATGATGGAGGAGGAGGGGTTTTATTTTAATTTAATTAATTATACGCAGGGGGGGGAAAGGAGGAGGGAGCAGGAAGAGCGCTGATTGGGCTCAGTCATGTGATTCTCGAATCACTGAGAAAGTCCAAAGGGTTTTCTTTTTTCTTTTCTTTTCTTTTTATTAAATAAAAATGAACAAAAAGAGTGAAGGGCGATGGGGGAGTGGGACCTCTTTGTTTTCCTCTTTTCCTATCTTTCTTTCTTCTTTAATCATGCTCTTGAGGCCTCCAGCATTTATTACTATTTTGGAGTTTTCTTTTTTCTTTTCTTTTATTAATTGATAAATAAATAAATAAAAGATTAGAGCTCTCTCTCTTTCACATTTTCTCCCCTCTTGTTTGTTCGCTGAGGGGAGAACGAAAGAGAAGAGATGAGGGGTGATGGATTCAGAGAGAGAGAGAGGGATGGGCCGGGGGAGCTGAACCCAGTTAGGAGTTTCAGTTGGGTTTAGGTTGGTTTAATTCAAGCTCGTGGAATGAGTCGTAGCTCGTCTGGACCCGGACAAGATATTTTAGGCTTGATTCATTCACTCTCCCCCCATGGATTGAGATTGAGATTGTGATGGCATGTATTTTTATGAGGAGTTGTGTGTGCAATCAGAGTAGTAGAGACGTTTGGGTAGAAATTTTGTAAAGTTGGTAGAATCTTGGATATTTTATCCTTTTAGATATTCACCGTCTAAAATTTACAACTTCTGTTGAAGTATTTTCCTAAAAAGACCAAAGGCCGAGGGGTATCTGGGCCCGAGTACCCTTTTAACGCTCACCGAGACAATTCCGAGTCAGGGGATATATTCATTTCGCACAACAGAAAAAAATGGTTACGATAAAAACAACTTGATTATTCTATTCATTTATATAGTTGCCCCCGAGATTCCTATCTATATCTTTAAACAAAGCCCAAAAAAAGAAAAAAACCTTTGAAAAATCCAAAACAAAACAGAAAAAAGGGTAGCCTATACAACTACAAGTAGACAAGGGCTCTCCTCGCCCATGATTATGTAGGACTTGTCTTTTTCCTAGGCAAATCATGCACGTTGAAATTATGATGTTTTGAATGGGCCTGCGTTGAATTGCTGATTTTCTTGGACTGCGTCAAGGCTTGTGTTTTGGTTGTATGCTGCTGAAGCCATCATTTCATGAATTTAAGGAATGATTGAGTGAAAATGGGATAAGTTTAGCTGGTGGTTGAAGCGCTTCTGAAGCAGCGAACGTAACACTATTTTTTTATTAGTGTGAATGGGCCGGGCCAAGATTTATATAGTCAGTTTTCCCTTTGTACAAATTTGTATCTTTCTGGTTGTGGGTGCACGATGAGCTGAATTAGGGATGGCCATTTGGACTAGGCTGCGCTAACCAGGATCCAGTCCTGCCGGTTCTAGACTGACGTGGGCTGGGCCGATCCGAGCTAACCTTGACATTTGATGGGGCCCGAAGCCCAGTTGTTCGAGATAGGAATACAACCCAATCCAACCCACTTACTCGGCCCATTCAAGTAGTGCTTGCTTGGTCAACCCAAACCACTGTTTTTCTTTCAATTTTGTTTCTTTTTATTTTTTTATTCTTTTGGCTCTTTTATTAAAACGTGATTTAGATGAATTTTGACCAACGGACTGGGGCTTCCTGAGAAAGTTTTTAGACTCAACCTATCAAGTTGTTACTTTGAAAATGTGCACATTTAGCTATATTATTAATTTTTGAGATTACTAAATAGTTACTAATAATTAAATAGTTAATAATAGTTAATATGGTTACTATTAACTGATGTCGATGTAAGGTTTGGATGCGGCATTGGTTAGGGCCTAGGTCCAATTCGAACTTGGTCGAGTTTGTGTGGCAGGTTCGAGATCAGGCCTGAACAGAGCCGTGCCCGGCCCTCGTTGGGATCGAATCCGGCCTAACCCGGACCGGATGTTAACAAGTCAGGTCAAACCCGACCAAAATAGGCTGGTTCATTGCATATTGTGGGCTAACTCAGCTATTCGCTCCCTTAGGTTTTAATTTAACTTTTAAAGATATATATACTATATATAGATACTATACTATTGATTATATATATATATAGATATACATATATATTCCTGAATGCGCGCGCCACATAATAAATATACTATATATACTATATATGATCAATATAAATATAGTATATATATATTATATATATTATAATATCTTAATATATGAATATATATTAATAGTATATATATATATATATAGAAAATATGAATAAAAACACTAGGGTTGCATACTCTAGGTATAACTAAGTTAGTTACACACATGTCAAAATATATCATTGCCCATCTATTTAATTGGAAAATGCAAACCATGCATTGTAATTTATGTGTCATCAAATGATTGTGGGTTGAAAATTATGTGGTTTGGAATTTTATATATTATAATCAAGCAAAATAAACAACATTTTGGACTATTGCAGACCATTCATTTCTCGGTCATTAGATGCATAAACTAGAAATATCTAATCTATGTGATTTTTTAATCTCTATGAAGTTTTGATTGCATAAATCATAATGGACAATGTGGATCGTTGATATCCATGGTCAAACATGTATTTACATAGGTGTGTATAACTAACTTAATTACATCCTAGTCGTATTATAATCGTACAATATATATACTGTTTTTGGTTTATGAAATTTCTTTCTTTTTTTCTTCCCCTTTTCCCCCTTTTTTGGACCTTGTTCTGTATCTTTTGTTATAAGACATGAAAAACTTCCTCGATCTCTTTCATAAATTAGCTACGTACTCTGGTGATGAAGTATCTTACAAGTTTCTTTCTGAGAAAAAATCACCGCAATGGGAGGAAAAGCACTGACGTGATACTTATCCAAAGAAAGACGCAAGAGGTAGATTGGGGAAAAGAAAAAAAAAAGAGCTGATAGTTAATTAGCAGACACTTTAGTACTGACCATTCTTTCGATCGAGTATATTATTATCATCATCATCATCACTTCTACAATAGTATTATTATTTGATTTGGTGCGTTGGCTAAACGAAATTCTTGGCATTCAAAAGGTTAGAAAATGGCACCATTGCCTGGTTGAACTTACTATAAATATGCTAAATTTATGAAATATATAGTCAAAACCAAAAGTGCAGACACGATATCAGTGCCCAAAAGCGACAATACAGAACCAACATTATGTACTTAGTTGGTCACCAAACCATAACTCAAATTCTCTGTTTGTTGAGCTTCTTCCGACCAAAACTCCCTCTTCCCTCTCCCTCTTAATCAATATAAAAACCTTACGCATCCATGACAAAAAGATCACCAAGCTCCCAAACCTCAAAACAATTAATGGGCACTCTAGTTAACGCGGAACGCGCAGGCGCAGAGAGGGTCTACGGCGCGGAGGCATGCTATCGACACTCAATAGAACTCCTAACCGAGCTCGGTTTCCCAAAGGGTGTCCTCCCTTTGAAAGACCTAGAAGAATGCGGTCGAGTTCGCGAAACTGGGTTCGTGTGGATGAAGCTGAAGGCCCCGTTCGAGCACTACTTCAAGGGGACAAACACATGCGTGAGCTATGCCGCTGAAGTGACTGCTTATGTCAAGAAGGGGAAGATGAAGAAGATGACCGGGATTAAGACCAAGCAGATGATGCTGTGGGTGCCTATTACTGAGATGAGTAGTGTTGGTGGTGGGAATAAGATTTACTTCAAGAGTGCTGTGGGGATAGGGAGGGGATTCCCTGCGGCAGCGTTTGCGGATGAGGAAGAGGAGAAAGGAGGAGCGTTGAAGATCAACTAGACAGAGATCATTAAGTTGTTCAAGTTCGTTGCTTGTGTTCTGTGATTGTCAATGTTTTTCTGATGAGATTCATGAATGATTCGTCCGTACCCTTTGTTATCTTGAATAAAAAGAGATGCTGTCAAAGTACTATCAATTAATCATATGACCAATCGTTTTCACCTTGTTGAAGAAGAGTTGCGCCTGGTTGAGTGTTCTGACTGAAAACACTAGAACTGGAAGAGTTCTCCCATAAGAGGAGCTACTGAATTCAAACAGAAACAAAAACACGCATTCAAGCTCGACAATGCCTCAAGCATCTACAAGTAGCGTAATCCTCCGATAATAATAACAACTTACAATCGCATCCTTTTACATCTTCTAAGACATATGTCACTTATAAAGCGTAAGCTGATACAATGGGAGATTATTATATCAAAGATACTCAATGCAGAAGTCCATAAAACGTTTAAACTCTGCTGACAAAACGGTAGGTGTAGCTTTCGCCAAGAACACTGACCAAATGAACACAACTTATTGAAACGTTGGTGCAATGAAAATAACTCACACTACCACAAGGTTGCCTTACTACAGCTTTGATGCTGCTGCCCTATCAGCAAACCAGGTAAGTTCTCCATCTTCAAGTGTGATCATTTGGACAGGAAGAAGCTCAGATGCACTGTTTTCGCCACCAAGAGCTTTCTGCACAACACCAGCTTTACCTGATCCAGTGGCCACAAGTGCAATGTTTGCTGAAGAGTTTATCACAGGAAATGTGAAAGTAATTCTCTCTGGTGGTGGCTTTGGGGAGTCCTTAATGAAGGTAATCCATCGCTCTTTTTCATTGAGAAGAGGGTGTCCAGGGAAAAGGGAAGCCACATGACCATCAGGGCCCATTCCTAATAGCATGAGATCGAACTTTGGAAATTCTGTGGATGTCGATTTCTGAAGTACCCCACTTTTAACAAGTTGTTTCAAACAGGTCTCGTAGTCATCAGCAGCACCTTCTGCAGAAAGGGCTTCATTGATGGCATAAACATGCCCCGGTGGAATAGGAACCTATCAAGACAACATTCAAGAACACAAACAAATCAGTAATAAACTCATGCATACAATATACACCTGTAATATGTGAAAAGGTCGTCTTTATTCTCCTTTTGTTTTCTTAAGAAGTACGAATTGAAATGAATATCTGAGCTCAACCAATATCCTTGACTTCGTGAACATCCTACATTAGATTTTTGGGAAGTGGGCCCTACTACTTCTACATGTTTACTTAGTATGGGATAAGGAACATGGCTTCTCAATTAAGCCTTCCAGTGTAATGGGATTGTACAGCATGGTGAAGGATTTTTCTTCCCCTACAAGGGAAAGGATGACAGTTATGACATACACTCTATTATATACAACGACAACAATATCCTAAATTTTTAGGATCACATATAGTATACTACATATTATATATGTGTAACAGATTGCGCATCAATTCTCCAATGTGTTAGCCCCCGCATAATCCCACCGGACGCAAATAATACAGAACGAAATTCGTAATTGTAATTACCGAGATTTCTAATAATTGACATAGCATGGTAAAATGCTAAGTTGCTAACCACATGCTGAGCAGCTGAGATCTCATTAAGTCGTATAAAATTACAGGAATGTAGCCATGCACTTATCTACTTCTTTTGCTTCTGAAAATTACTAGGAATCTTTTTTTTTTAATAGTTAGCAAAGCATGATCATGAAGAAAATGGTTACAGACTCTTCCCGAAAATCCGAAGTTATGAAAAGGGAAAAAATTTGAGAAAGTCTAAATACACTACAAAAGAATAAAATTTAAGTCATGAAAGAATTACATCTTCAATAAAAAAAATTTATGTGAGAACATGAAAACTTATTTTATCTAGTTTTTCCTTATAAGCCCGAAGTTCTACCCCCTTTCACTTTAAACCCATATAATTTTATAAACATAAAACACAAAGTTTACTTAACTTTAAACCCAAAACTAGAATACAAAGTGCATAGTTACATACAATATGCTATGTAATTATACACCCTAAAGCATGTAGCTATACACCCTATAATGTGTTGCTCTATAACTTATTGTATGCAGCAATATGCTTTGTATTTTATCCTTTGGATTTAAAGGTATTGTACTTTGGGTGTACGAAAATGTACGTACTACATGGGTTTTGAAGTACCTGGGGGTAAAACTTTTGGTTTATAAGCAAAACCTCCTCATTTTATTTCTCAAAAAAAAAAATCATTTCCAATACACCAAAGATCTAAAGTTATGGTGAGTGTTATAGTTTTACACTTTAACATGGCCGAGAAGGTTGAGCGTCCTTTTTATGGGCCGAAATCTCGACTTACACGGCTAAACCAATGTTTTTTAGTCTCCTTTAAATTTGTGGCCAGTGAGAATTGAACTTCAATTGCATAGATAAAGAGGCAAAGAACCCTCTTCTAACCTCATTTAAATGACAACCTTATCTAGCATGAATTTTTAATTTTTTTATTTTAAGATGTAAACATTGGAGAAATCACCAAATATAATTTATTAAAGAATACAAAAATTGCTTAATGAAATAGGGTTGAAATCTTAATGAAATAGGGTTGAAATCTTAATGAAATAGGGTTGAAATGGATGAGACCACACAGGGATGATGTGTTGTTCAGTCGCATGCACATCAACTATAATCCTTTGAGCAATATAAAAATTTGGTTAATTAATTATGTTCTAATAATTTCTCCACTATTTACACCTTAAAAAGGAAAAAAATAATAATAACGAATATGAATGCTTTATGAGGCTGGCATTTAAGTGAAATTAGAAGAGGGTAGTGGTGTCAAGTATGACTCGGCAGATTTAGTTCAATAAAAAGGGCACTCAACCTGTGCTGACATGTTAGAGTATAAGAATATAACCCTCACCCCATGGTGTAGTAGCAGGGCTTTTGATAATACAAAATGCAGATTGCAGACAAAGTGAGATCATATTCAATTATAGATATGATGACATCAGTAGTTAATATGACCACGTTCAACTATAGATATGAGCCTAAAGCTAACGTGAGTATTGAAAATTTTCCAGACCGATTGAGAATAAAACTATCAACATATTCATGTGTTATTGTCAAAATAAGTATCAATAAGGACATCCTACTTCGGTTAACTCAGCTAATAACTCATATTTCAGATGTGTTTATCCATTCCCCTGATATGCACTAGGGCTGGCAATATACACAATTCCATTCCAACCAATTCATGTACCAACCGTACCAAATACGTTGGTATACCATCAAATCGGTATATGATACATGGTACAGTATACCGTACCAGCTTTAAAATATGGTACGGTAGGTGGTACACATTTTCCTCTACCATGGTATACCGTACCTACCAACTTATATTATATTAAATTATTATATATTATATATATATATATATCCTTAAATCTCAACCATAGAAGTAGGGAAAATAAATCTCAACCGTCAATTTTTTACCCTAATCTAATCTCTCTCAGCCTCCCACTCTCAGTCTCAGTTCGCCTCAAAGATCAGTTCAACTCACCCAAAAATCCCTCTCCCCAAAACTTCCCCCAAATTCCTCAATCCCTCTCCCTCTTCCCACGATTTCAGCCCAAATCACCGCCACGACACCGACGGTCCGACACCACCAGCTCGCCCTCCGTCCGTCGCCGACGACGCCACGCCGCCACGACACCGTCGAGCTAGTAAATATTGACTTGGGCTTGTAATTTTGGGTGAAACTGTGAGAGCACAAAAAGAAGAGATCTCGGTTTTCTTTAGAGATCTTGGTTTTCTTTAGTTTCTTTCCACGGACCACGACACTGTCAATTTTATTCGTCTGCTGGTATTCTCCTTAATTGTTTCCCCTCCGTTTTTCCTCACAAAAACAGATTTTGGGTTTAATTTTACCTTGTTTGTTGATTTTCATTTAATTTTTGTGGTGAAAGGACTAAATATTGACTTGGGCTTGTAATTGGATTGACTTGGGCTTGTAATTGTAATTGTTGATTTTCTCTACGTTGTTTGGTTTATTTTTATTTTTATTTTTGAATTAACTGTGATATATGTAAATGAAAGAGGGTAGAGATAAAGAAGCAAATGAAATCTACTAAGGAAAAACTTTAAGCTATTTTCTCCGACTTATTGACAACAAACATGGCAATAAGAATGCACTTCTCATCTTAATTTAACTTGAGGTATCGCTATCTTTGGACATGTTATTGCACCAAAGATGATTGGTATGATGATACATGAGCCTAAGAATGTTCGCTGGGTCATATAAGTAGAGAAAAGAAGTCTAGCTATTTGATATGAAACCAAGGCCACAGCTGTACATTGATACTTTGTGGAATCAGTTTTCTGTTTTGTGAACTTTGTAATTGATGTTTTATTCTTGTTCCATTGTAGGCAATGGATTCTTTTATGTCACAAAGTGGTACTGTGGGCTATTCAAGCTCAACGCCATCAGTTCCATCCAGGGCAAATGCAGAGACTACTGTCGGTTTACATGCTATACCTCTGCCACCTCTGTCACCAACTGCACCATCAGTTCCATCTAGTGGAACTGAAGGGACTCATGAAGGTAGCCAGTCTCGGAAGAGAAAAGAGCCCTCAAACAAAAGCAAGATGTGGCAGTACTTTACCATGTGCAAACTTCCTGATGGTCAAATTGATCCTAAACATTGCACCTGTAACTATTGTCACGAAAGAGTAGAATGGGACTAGCTCCATGCTGTATCATAGCAAGAGATGTGAGAAGCACCCCTGTTATCAAAAAGCAGAGGAAAGTGATCCCACTCAGATGAGGCTGAGTCGAGATAATGTGAGTGGAGGCACTGGATACCGGAGGTGGAACAAGAAAAGGTGTGATGATAAGTGTATTGAGATGATCATCAAGGATGAGCTTCCATTTCGGTTTGTGGAGAGGGAGGGATTCAGGGCTTTATGCAATGAGTTGGAACCACAATGGACAGTCCTGGACAGGAAGCAAGTTGCTAAGGGCGTGCTAGAAAAGTTCAACTTGGAGAAGTCTATGTTGTTGAGTCAGCTTAAGAGGAGTGACACAAGAGTCTCTATCACCACCAACACTTGGACATCGATTCAAAATATTAATTACTTGGTGGTGACTGCGCATTTTTTGGACCACGATTGGGTGCTACACAAAAGAACCATTAACTTTTGCAATATTACTAGTCACAAAGGTGAGGACATTGGGAGAACACTTGAGCAGTGTTTGAGACAATGGGAGATCAACAAAGTATTTACTATTACAGTAGACAATGCTAGTGCAAATGACGTGGCTGTCCAATATATGAAGAGGAGGCTTACTAGTTACCAGACCTTAATGTTTAAGGGAGAGTATCTACATTTAAGATGTGCTTGTCACATTATTAACTTGATTGTGAAGGACGGTTTGAAGGAGTTAGAGAGTGGGATTGCTGTCATTTGGAATTGTGCCAAATATGTGAGGAGTTCATCGCAAAGACTTGACAAGTTTAGGGAGTTTGCAATTCTGGAACAGTGCAAGGCAAATGCTAATGTCCCGTTAGATGTTGTTACAAGATGGAACAGCACATATCTTATGCTTGAAGCTGCATTGAAGTATGAGTTGACGTTTAACCGAATGTGTGAAGAGGATGAGGCGTTCAAGAGCTACTTTGCGGACAAAGTTGGACCTCCAACTTCTGAAAATTGGAGGTATACAGCAACATTTTGTGTGTTTTTGAAGAAGTTTTATGTTACAACCTTAAGACTTAGTGCTTGGAAATCAATCACTTCAAATGTATTGTTTGTGGAGATGATCACCTTGCAATGTGAGATCAACAAGGCTTGCATTTCAGAAGATCTTGTTATGAAGAAAGTCGCAGCCTCAATGAAGATAAAATTTGACAAGTATTGGGGCAGCTTTGAGTCTATCAACAAGATCGTTTTGATAGCGAATGTGTTGGACCCGAGGTACAAGCTTCAATGGGCTAAAATGGCTATGAAAAAGATTAATGCAAGCCCAAATACAATCCAGTCGATAGAAGAGGATTTAAAGAAAATCTTGATGAAGATGCATGAAGAGTATAAAGGTTGTGAGGGCATGGAGCAAGCTGAGCAGCCTCTCGAAGATGATTTAGAGATGGATGGAGTTGCCTACGAGGACCTTGATGAAGTCAGTAAGGAGATAGCTAGAGAGAGGATGTCGGAGCAATCACAATGCATTCGAAATGAGGTTGATCAGTACTTAACGGATAGGCATGTCAGCCTTACGTGCAAGACTTTTGATATTGGCAAGTGGTGGAAGGGAGCAAAAACAACTTATCCGATTTTATCCAAGCTAGCAAAAGACATACTTGCTGTTCCATGCTCTACTGTAGCTTCGGAGAATGCTTTTAGCTTAGGGTCAAGAGTTGTAGATCCTTTCAGAGCTTCTTTGACACCAAAGACAGTTGAGGCCCTTGTTTGCACTTCTGATTGGTTAAGATGTGCACCTGCAACTTTCAACCTCTACGAGCCTCCAACAGAAGATGATCTGATAATTTTCCACGAACTGGAGGAGCTTGAGAGAGGTACTTGCAAATTATTATTATTATTATTATTATTGCTTTAGTTGAACCTGCTACTGAATAGTTTGTTACTAAAATTACATAATGTATAATGATTAGTTTGTGAAATCATAAAAAAATACATAAACAATATCATTCATAGCTAACAAACATGCAATAATATGGGAAAGGTACATTCTTAGCTATTAACAACCTTTGAAAATAAACAAAATACATGGAGCTGTCATCATTTGCATGTAGTGTTGCTGCTAATCTAAACATTATCTGAGAAGTAGTGTTGCTGCTAATCTAAACATTATCCTTTCTTTGATGCATTTTCATAGGAGTTATGGGTTTACTGTATATGAGCAACTAACACGTGTCTCTTCAAAGTTCATTTGGAACAATTGAGCTATCATCTTTTGCATGTGCTCTTTGATATATGAAAATGGATTTTAGTAAAATGAACTGTTGACTCGTATCCGTTATTTACTTGATTGTATAAATGGTTGTATACATGATGGCTTTACTATTTTGCTTTCCCTTTCAGATAGGCGCAGGTGACATTCACCGGATGGCATCTTTTACCATTGAACTTGCTATGGAATGATGTTTTAATTGTGACTTTGACACTATTTGCCTATATCGTTGATACAGATAGTTGATTGGCTAGAATTCCATTATAATATAAATCAAGATTTTCTTGAACCATAACATTAGGGTCCTCACAATATGTAATTGTAATGCCATTAGCAGTAGGGATGATGACGATGCACTTCAGCTACAAAACTTGGTGTTTTAGTTTGCGCTATATTGTTTTTTGACTTGTTATTGGATTTAATTATGTATTTATGTTATTGTTGTAGAGAATGCTTTTACACAAAACTTGGAGGCAGTAAGGGGCGGCCCAAGTAGCAATAGCTCTGTTCAAACAACTGCTTAGGCATCAAGCGTTCGGGGTTTATGGCCTAGCACTATCACCGCCTACAACATGTCAACCTGTCCCGCTTTTAGACCTATCATTTCTTTTTTTCAATTGTTTTATGAATTTGTTAGTACTTTGGCAGTTTGACTGTTTGGACTTTGGCATGTTCAATTTATGACTTCGTATTCGGTAATTTGGTTGAATTTGTATAACACTTTGGAGTTTGGATTTTTTTTGTTATTTGTTATTAGTTTCTTACTTATTTCGCAACAATGAATTACTGAATTAGACAATTAGTAAGACAAGTTTGGCCTTTGGCAGCAGGAGAATTATGCTCTTTTTAACTTTTTGTAATGGTGTTGTTGAGCTGGGCCTTTAAATTTTTGGGCCATAAATATCTTGGTAGAAGTCTATTACCAACCGAGTACCAACCGTACCAAGTAGTTGGTATACCAACATTATTGGTTTATAGAAATGGTGACTTTTTCCTACCAATTATTTATTGGTTGGTACATGGTACTAGGCAAATGTAATTGGTATACCTACCAATCCAGCCCTAATATGCACTGGTAGGGGTGCCAAACGGTTCGGATTTATCTGAACCGATCCGCATCCGTATCCGAACGGATGTGGATATGGTAAAGTATTTTAAAACCGGACGGATACGGTTTTGGATACGGATACGGTTTTGGATACGGATCCGATTTTGATTTTTTTGGATACGGATTCAGATACGGATATGAGGGTTTCAAACACGGATATCCGCAATTTAATAAACGTAAGGATTCGGGTCGAATCCAAAGCTCCAAACCCGTAACCGCTAACCAACCCCAAAACCCAACTACAAAAGTAACAAAACCATAGCCTTCACTCCACTGAATCCAC